GCTATCTCCACCCTCCTCCACACCAGCATTACACGATCCAACACTGCGCGCCATTCGCTCCCTCCCCCACACCCAGCATCTACAATCCAACCGCTCCCCCACTTTCCCTCTCCCACACACGACCACAGCATTACATCCAACCCTCCCATTCCCTCCCTCCCCCACCACCCAGCAGTACCATCCAACCCTCCACCCATTCCCTCGCTGCCCATACACACACAGCTGCATTACATCCAACCTCCCCCATCCCTCCTCCCCCTACACCAGCATTACATCCCAGAAACCCTCCCATCTCCCTCCCTCCATACACACACAGCATGTACATCAACCCTCCGCCCATTCCCTCCCTCCCCACTACACACACCAGCATACATCCAGAACCCTCCATTCCCTCCCTCCATACACACACAGCATTAATCAAACCCTCCCCCATCTCCCTCTGCTCGCCCCACACCCAAGCATTCACATCCAACCCTCCCATTCCCTCACCTCCCCCCAGCATACATCCAACCCTTCCCCCATCATCCCTCCCTCCCCATACACACACAGCATTACATTCCAACCTCCCCATTCCCTCCCTCCCCCCACACAGCATTACATCAACCCTCCCCATTCCCTCCCTTCCCATACACACACGCGATTACATCCAACTCCATCCTATTACCCTGCCCTCCCATACACAACACAGCATTACATTCAACCTCCCCATGCCCTCCCTCCCACACCCAGCATTAACACTCGCAACCCTTCCTCCACACACAAGCAGTTAACATCCAAACCCTCCTCCATTCTTTCCCATCCCGCACAACCACGGCATTATACATCCCAACCCTTCCCCATTCCCTCCCTCCCATACACACAGCAGGCATCACATCCAACCCTCCTCCACTCACAAACATTACATTCCAACCGCTCCCCATTCCCCCCTCCCATACACACACAGCATTACATCCAAACCCTGCCTCCACACCACAGCACTTACCATTCCAACCCTCCTCCATTCCTCCCTCCGCCCACAACCCAGGCCATTTTAAAAAACCAAAAACTCCATAACCCTCCTCCACTCAAACATTACATCCAACCCTCCCCATTCCCTCCCTCCCATACACAACACAGCATCTACATTCCAACCCTCCCCATTCCCATCCCTCCCCCCCACCCGCATTACATCCAACCCCGGTCCCCCATTCCCCCTCCCCCCACCCAGCATGTACATTCCACAACCTCCCATTCCCTCCCTCCCCCCACACCCAGACATTACATCCAAACCCTTCCCCCATTCCCTCCCTCCCCCCATCCCAGCATTACATCAACCCTCCCCACACCCAGCATTTACATCCAACCCTCCCCATCCTCCCTCCCTCCCACACCAGCATTCATCCCAAACCCTCCCAATTCCTCCCTCCACAGACATTACATCAACCTCCACACCCAGAGACACCAAGCCCTCCCCATTCCCTCCCTCCCCACCACCCAGCATTACATCCAAACCTCCCCATTCCCTCCCTCCCCCACGCCAGGCAATTACATGCCAAACCCTCCCCACACCCAGCATTACATCCAAGCCCCTCCCCCACACCCAACAATTACATCCAACCCTCCCCCATCTCCCTCCCTCCCACACACACATCAACATTGACATCCAACCCTTTCGCCCCATTCCCTCCCTCCCCCACACACAAGCATTACAACTCCAACCTTCCCCCATTTCCCTCCCTCCCCCACACCAAGCATCATCCAACCCTACCCCCATTCGCCTCCGCTCCCCCACAACACCCAGGCATTACATCCAACCACTCCCCCGGAATTCGCCTCCCTCCCACATCACACCCAGCACCTTACAATTCCAACCCTCCCCATTTACCTCTCCCTCTCCCCCCTACCGAGCTTAGTTACATCGCCAACCTCCCCCCAATCTCCCGCCCTCCCCGATACACACCACAGCATTCACCATGCCACACCCTCGCCCCATTCCTCCCCATTCCATAGCACATCACAGCGATTTCCACCACTCCCAACCCCCCATTCCCTCCTCGCCCGCACACCAGCATTACCATCAACCCTCCCATTCCCTCCCTCAACCCCCAGCATTTACATCCAACCCTCCCCCCATTCCCTCCCCTCCCCCAAACCAGCATTACATCCGAACCCTCCCGCCCATTCCCTCCCTCCCCCACACACACGAGCCATTACATCCAACACCTCCCATTCCCTCCTCTCCCCACACACACACCAGCATACATCTTAACCCTCCCCCATTCCTCCGTCCAGCATTACAATCCAACCCTTCCCATTGCCCTCCCACGTCCCACACCCGAGCATTAATCCAACCCTCCCCCATTCCCCTCCCCCCACCCAGCATTGACATCCAAACTCCCCAAGCCAGCATTGACGATCCAACCCTCCCCATTCTCCCTCCCCAACCAGCCATTACATCCCAAACCTCCCATCTCCTCCCTGCGCAACGCGGCGCGGACCCCCACCCAGCATTACATCCAACCGCTTCTCCCACACCCCCTATGCGATTTCACGATACCAACGCCTGATCCCATTCCCTCCTCCCCCACACCAGCAATATACATCCAACCCTCCCCCATTCCCTCCCTCCGTCCCCCCCACCCAGCCATTACATCCAACCCACCCCCCACCGCATTACATCCAACCCCTCCCCCAGCACTGCAAAACATTACATCCAACACGCTCCCCCATTCCCTGCCCTCCACACACAGCACAACATTACATCCAACTCCCCCATTCCCTCCCTCCCCCCACGACACAACAAGCATTTACATCCAACCCTTCCCCATTCCCTCCCTCCCCCACACCCAGCATATAACAATCCAAACCCTCCCCCAGTCCCTCCCTCCCCCACACACCCAGCCATTCACATCCAACCTCCCCCATTTCCCTACCCTCCCACACACACCAGCATTACATCCAACCCTACCCATCCCTCCCTCCCCGCCACCCCAGCCATTACATCCAACCCATCCCCCATTGCCCTACCCTCCGCATACACACACAGCATTACATCCAACCCTCCCCCCATTCCCTCCCTCCCATTACAACACACAGCATTACATCCAACCCTCCCCATTCCCTCCCTGCCCCCACACCAGCATTACTCTCACCCTGCCCCCGAGGTTCCCTCCCTCCCCCCAGCATGTACATCCACCCTCCCCCATCTCCCTCCCTCGCCCACACCCAGCATTACATCCAACCCTCCCCCATTCCCCGCCTCGCCCCACACACACGCAGCATTACATCCACCCTACCCCCATTCCCTCCCTCCCCACACACACAAGCATTGACATCCAACCTCCCCCATTCCCTCCCTCCCCCCCAGAGCATACATCCAACACTCCCCCTTTCCTCTCATCCCCCACAACACAACCAGCATCACATCCAACCCTCCCCCATTCCTCATCTCCCCCGGACAAATGTTTACAATCAGATACGCCGCACTCACGCACAATTGTTCATCCTTCACCAAGAGGAACAACGATGTCCACCCCACCCCCCACCTTGACAATTTCCCCCCACCCCCAGACAAATATCTACCTCTCCCCCAGATAAATATCCACCCTCCTGTCATATATTTTTCACACC